GGCGAGTCGAAGGTTGAGAAGGCGAGGCGAGGCGGTGGCGAGTCGAAGGTTGAGAAGGCAAGGCGAGGCGAAGCGACGACTAGCAACTCGCCAGCATGACGAGGCGGTGGCGAGTCGGGTTTTCGACTGACTCGCGGATCTCTGATGCATTCGCATCAAAACGTAATCTTTCGAAAATGAAAAATGCTCAATCGAATAAAGTCACGAAAGAGAGCAGGTATAATCTTCTAACTTAAAATTCTTTAACATTATTTTTCTCTTTAGCGAAGAGGATACTGTCTCGAACGCTTCATCATTAGATCAATCTTCAATTACTTCTGATGGATTGAATGATAAGATCTATTCAAAGTAAGAAAAAATTGTTCTTATTTATACAGACGAATATTTAAAACTTTTTGTAGTGAACCTTCTATATCAAGTAACAACAGCTCTCGATCATCCTCACCTAAATCTTTTGCAGTAGTAAGTAATGAATATTCTATTAATAATCAATTCAATTCAGATAAATCGACATCCGATGATCAACAAAGTAAACCTTCAGTTAAAGTTGACTTTGATAACGACGACCTCAACAACAGCATGTTTTCCATCCTGAGCACAATATATTCTAGTGCCAATCGTATGTATTAAAATCTAAATTTTGGATTAGGAATATGAATTTTTCTTAATCTAGAATACATGTTAACAACTGCTCAACCGTCATATCACCCAGAGGTACTAATTGATGGTCATTTAATGCGATGGCCACGATTTGGAATAAAAGAAGCCATTTTTAGAGGTAATTAAAGAATAATAAATTAATGTTTCGATCACTGTAGATAATTTCATATAATTTTTATTTTTAAGGTCGATCCTATACTCTCACTAATACATGTCACATAGATTCGGCATTATTTGCATTATATTTTTATATATAAAACTGATATTAATATTGCTAGAGAATTAAATGATGCACCCGAAACATCTGCATAATCACCACTTGTTAAAGCTTTTCGTATAGCTGAAAAAGAAGATTGGGATACTGCTCGTCTTAGCTGGTTACATAAACATGGTATTTTGGAACATTTCGCTGAGAAAAAAAGCCTTTTTGGCTCAGTAGACGCGCAAGTTTTTCGTTTTCTCAAGCGTGAACAACATCATTCTTGCCAAATTGAATGCTCGAGAGTTCAATGCAAAAAAAGAAGACGTAATCGAACAAAGACGGAATTTTGTCTTTTGTAAATATATATTTATTCGAATAATTTTTTTTAATGATCAAATCTTTGTAGTACGCGTGAAGATTATATTCGAGATTTTGACAATGAAACTACCGATGTATGTGATATAATAATGGCGCAATCTGATGAAATGACAGCAGAAGAAGCACGTGAATACAAATATAGAAATGTTCCATGCTGACAATTAACGAACAGACAAGCATAAATAAGTATGATTATGCCATGTTACTTTATCTTTTATAATGATATCGAATATTTTTCCTTATTTATAGACATGCATGGATATGTAATGCCATTGCTCATGTCTCTGTAGCTACTTTTACACATAGTCATCCGCCGATTATTATAACTGACATTAGATATTTACCAAAAAGAAATGAAAAAGGATCTGATGATGATTCTCCTCAATTTCTCGACTTGAAACGTGAGATAAGAATCAATTCTATAAAGTAAATTATTTGAACATTTAATTTTTTTCCTAACTTTTTATAAATTTTGTTGTCAGATACAGACTGCGTGCGGTAATACATCATACATATACATCTGTTGCACATTTTACTGCTACTCTTCTCGGTAGTGATGGCCAATTATACTTATACGACAATTTAAAAAATCTAAAAGAAGTGTCAACTTCAACAGGCAAAATAGTCTATGCAATTTACAGTCAAATATATATATTTTGATGGTTATTGTATTATTCAATTGTTTTATTGTTATTCTTTTTTCAATTAACACTTCTATTTTAATGTTCTGTAGAAGAAAATAAAAAAAAACATGCTTGTCAACAAATAAATATATCAGATAGTTGATCACATATCCACATGTGATTATCTACAAGTTAACGCGGCGCAAACGTCGCCGACCCTCTACTGAAAGGATATGATGCTGCAGAGATTGGGGTATTTGAGCAGGAAAATACAATAACTATTGTATTGGTATACATACTGGGTAAGGACTATTTAAAACACTTCTATGCTATTTTTGGATGGGACACGTCAAATTATATTAGGAAAAACATTTCGACTTTTCTAAAACTTTCGTATGAAAGAAACCTGTGAAGACTATCGTATACAAGAATGATAAAAAAAAGAGCCACAATGCTGACCTGTACAAAGCCTTCTCTGATCTGTGGCACATTATATTCTTGAATCGAGCTCTCTCCTTCTCACTTCACATTGAACTTAGACAAATGATAGAGTCTTACTTTAAAATTTTCTGTAATCCCTAATAAAAGTATTAATAAAGTGAAAACGTCAGCTTATCACCTTCTTTAGCAACTGCGATTTTTTATCACTAGTTGCTCTTGAAAACTCATTTTCTACAAATCCAAATTCAAAAACGCACGATAAGCTCGTCAACATCTTCAAAATCTCATTTTCTCACACCGTAGCTTCAAAACACAAGATTGGCTCGAGTACCACTCCGTGAAATTTCCTTCGCCGACAATCTGCTCCGAAAAATACCAGATCCCGCCAATTTCCTTGCCTCCCAATATACTTCATTGATGGCCCATATGAAAGCAAACCTCTGATGGGCTCAATTTCAGTTCCGCAAAATCCCATTGGCTAAGACCCCATCTCGGAAATCCTCGGATTGGGCCGATTTCGGCGCCGCTAAATCACATCGACTGTTGGCCCATATCGAAAAAACTATAATTGGCTGAACTTCGGTTGCGCCGAATCTCATTCACTGATAGGCCATATCCACAAACACGTAATTGGCTCAGCTTCCCCTGTGCGAAATCTCATTGGCTAATCACCTATATCAAACCGTCCCTCGTTGGCTGGCATTCAGCTTCGCGAAACCCCATTGAGTGAGCGCCCATATCGGAAAACCCTTGATTGGCTGGAGTTCTGCAGCATGACATCCCCTTGCTTAATCGCCCATACCGCAAAAACTCTGATGTCTCGATTCCGGCTTCGCGAAGTCCCATTGGCTAAGAGCTCATAGCGGAAAACCTCTGGTTGGGTCGATTTCGCCTCTGAGAAGTCTCATTGGCTGAGAGCCCATATGGAAAGAACTCTGACTGGCTCGATTTTGCTCCCGCGAAATCCCATTGGCTTAGAGCCTATATCGAAGAACCTCTGATAGGTTCGATTCCCACTTCGCCAAATCCCATTGGCTAAGAACCCATATGAAAAAACCTCTGATTGGCTCGATTTCGTCTCCACGAAATTCCATTGGCTAAGAGCCCATATCGGAAAACCTCTAATTGGCTCGATTTTGGCTGCGCCAAATCTCATTGGCTAAGAGCCCATAGCGGAAAACCTCTGATTGGCTTGATTTCGGCTTCGTGAAATCCCATTGGCCAAGAGCCTATAAGGAAAAACTTCTAATTGGCTGGATTTGGCTTCGGCAAATCCCATTGGCTAAGAGCTCATATTGGAAAACCTCTGATTCGCTGGATTTCGGCTTCACGAAATCCCATTGGCTAAAACTTCATATGGGAAAACCTCTGATTGGCTGGATTTTGGCTGCGCCAAATCTCATTGGCTAAGAGCTCATATCTGAAAACCTCTAGTTGGTCCAGTTTTGGCTTCGCAAAATCCTATTGGCTAAGAACCCATATCGAAAAACCTCTGGTTGGCTCGATTTTGCCTCTGCGAAATCCCATTGGCCAAGAGCTCATATCGAAAAAACGTCTGATTGGCTGGATTTGCTCTACGCACAATCCCATTGGTTGATAGCCGACCTCGGAAAACCCTTGTTGACACGGGGAGTGAATTGTTCTCTACGTTTTCACAAGGAACTCTGCTGAAGGTTAAAAAAACATTTTTTCGTTCTGTGCGAACGAACGAACGCAGTTACGAACTTACGAAGTTACGAACATACGAACCTTGCTCGGTGTATGACCCTCCTTTCAGTAGAGGGAACAAAGTTACGTTGATCCAAATAGTAAAGACTACTTACGGCGTGAGGTTCCACCACAGATAGTCACGTTTGGATTACCCCAAAGACAGTATTCATTATAATTGGGTATTATTGGCTTAACACGACTCGAAAGATCATCATTATTGTGTTCTCTTACTGCATCAGAATTCAGAAGACCTAAAACTGTGAAACCTCTAAATGATTTTATTTCTTATATGAAACAAACCTTCCCATGTATTGTGTATCTGATGTTTTTGTTCTGTTTCATCTTCCTCCTGAGAAAATATACTAATGTATGGTGGAAACATATGGTCAGGATCAGTGAAGACGTTTGATGCACTGTTGTTACTATACACAACACTAGCATTCTGTTCATCATCTTTACGAAGACATATTGGAATGCTGCACGCAGTATCCATCAATGACATATATGATAACATTGACACTTCGTTTACTTTTTCGTGTCGAACATTGATTAAACGATTGTCCGAAGTCGATGAGTAGTCGCTTCTAATAGTTGTTGTCTCATCTGTTTTGTTGGAAACCGAAGACATATTGCAACTTAATCTATGTTGAGATGAGTTCAGTTCAGAGCCCGACAATGTTGTCGATATTCCATCAATCGATGCTATAGTAAACGAAGGGGAACTATATGGAATGTTTGAAATATTTGATGTATACGAACCCCTACTGATTGTTACCAATGAATCGGTTTCACGAAAAATCCTCGATGCACCATCACTATAGATACTTGAATTATCATCGACACGATCAAGAAGATATGACGGTATCCTACGGCCACTCACATATCCACCATTGTTTCGATCGACCATTGTAAAATTGGAGTTTGTATGCTCAGAGTAATACTCTCTCGTAGAACAGAGTATGTGAAAAAAAAGATAATATACTTGATGCTTTTGCCGCATGCATTTTTATCATTCAAAACAGGCACGCGCACACTGATTTAACAGAACAAAAATAAGCACATCAAGCAAACACATATCATATCACAGAACAGCTAAAATGCCAGTAGTTGGTAAGTGATTACCAAGAGAAAAAATACACATTACATACACATATTTGGCAAAATGCATTGTCATATTTAGTAAAGAGTAAAGTTTGTTTTCTTTTACCTGATAGATCCTATTGAATATGATTGCCTTTGCTTTTGTTTATGTAAAGAGAGTTCGAAACATAGAGGAATATGATCATCGTGTTCTCCATCAAAAATTACTTGGGTCTAACAGATGGGCGAGGCGAGAAATCGAACTTCAAAACTCGTGTAAAAAGTATATCTATCTTAGAAATACTCTTGGAATGTGTCGTCCAGTGCAAGCCATTTCTAGAGATGGAACGCTAATTTTTTATAGTGTTATAGCCCAGTGAGAGTACTTTCAACTTATAAAGACCAACTCTCCAAGTAATCCATGTTTTGGGCGAAAGTGAATCCTGAAAACCCTCATTTTTTGAAAGGACTCTTCTGACCTAATGGAACAACATAGACAGCTGAAATCTTCAGAGAACATATACATTTTATTGCTCTATCTATGCTGAAAATTCCAGACTTCTATATCATTCCAATCAAAAGTTATGAAGCACAAAAGTTACCAAAAATCAGCATTTTCTCGTATATTGAGTACTCCATAAAATCCTAACAACTCACTATTTTTCAACAAAAATTTTATGGCAAATAGAACTCACTGAGATATATGTCTAGAAAACGTTTCAGCTCAATCTGTTGAATCCTTCATAAGGTATCATTGCATTAGGACCCCCGTTTTGGAAGAGGGACCTTAGTAGGAGATTTCATAGAATGCTTCTAAATAGTCAAAGAGTCTATATTTTTAGAAACGGCTTGGGTCAAAATTCTCAGGATGCTTCCCTCTATAACATATGTTAAATTAAGCAAAATCTGACTACCTCGTCTCGGACAAACGGGGTCGAGATTTATATGTTCTGGCTCATAATAAGGTCTACGCATCTCAGATACACCTCCCAAAGATGACTCCCGGTGCAAGCCATTTCTAGAGGTCCCACGCTAATTTTTTTATGAGCTTGTAGCCCTAAGAGAGTACTTCAAACTTCTAAAGGCCAACTTGCTAGGCAATCCATTTCTTGGGAGAGCGCGAACTCAGAAAAATCTCATTTTCGTCGAAAACCGATTTTTCAGAGGACTCTCCTGATCGAACGGAACAATGTAAACGGCTGAAATTTTCAGAGAGCATACATCTCACAGTTCTCTATCTATGCTGAAAATTTCAGACTTCTATGACATTCCAATCAAAAGATATGAAGCACAAAAGTTATCAAAAATTAGCATTTTTCGGTATATTGTGTGCTTCATAAAATCCTAATGGCTCAATATTTCTCAATAAAAATTTTATGGCAAATAGAACTTACTGAGATATATGTCCACAGAAAATTTCAGCTCAACCTGTTGAGCTGTTCGTGAGATATCATTGCATTAGGACCCCCGTTTTTGACATGAGTCATTTTTAAGGCTTTTAGTAAAACGCTCATAAAAAATCGAGGGATCAATATTTTTCGAAACAGCTTGCGTCAAAATTCTTAGAACAATTCCCTCTATAACATATATTAAATTGAGCAAAATCTGACGACATCGATTGAGCATGGCTCTGATAAATCGTTCGTGGTTTATATGGAATGGCTCATATGTACTAGTATTATCATAATCGTGTTATACTAAAAGAAAAAAAAGAGCAATAGTAAATGAAGGAAGAACGCGTAAGAAAATCCTAAATTTGTTATAAATACAACTTGTTTGGGTATGCTTTATGTTTCTGAATATATTATTGTAACCATAAAATTTCTTTCTTTTTCCATCTCTCCGGTCTCCCTCAGACAAAAAAACCTACCTTTTCCATTGCATTTTTTCATTATTTAATACATTGTATTAAAAAACTGAAATATACCACAAGATGCAGCGTGAAAATAGCTACGATATACAAAGAATAGTTTATTTTACAATTGCACTTTTTGTTTCCAAAATGGACAAAATTCTGAGCGACTCAATTTCGAAACTTCGAAAAAAAATAATAACTTTTTGGTGTATCCTATTTGCAGCGTAAAAAATTAGTTGCAAAAAATTTTGTCAATTTTGAAAACAAAAGGTACATATATAAAATAAGTTTTCTACAGTAAATTGTAGAGCTTTTGACGCTGCATTTTGTGATATATTTCGGTTTTTTAATATAATGTATTAAGTAATGAAAAAATCCAATGGAAAAAAAAGCAGTTTTTTGTTTGTCCGAGGGAGAGTTTATTAACTATTGTTTTTTTCTTTCTTGTATATGCTTCGTTTCTTCTGTATGTAACTCAACAATTAACTGTAAGTTCCCTTGTTGCATTTTATTTCTTTTTTGTGGCTTAAGGGTCTTTTTTTTTCATATTCTAATGTATATTTTTTTGTTTCAGTAAAATATGTATGGTTTTCTTTTTCATGTTACCATAACAGAATTCGTCCATGACAACGAAGGTGAGAATATGCCAAACACATCAATATCTAAATAAAGTAATAATATATATATATATCTGTACAAACTCAAGTATACATATATATGATCATTCGAACAGAACACTTGATGTCTACATCATTGAGCGCGATAGATTAGATTGTGCGATATGTACAGCTATGTAATTATATTTGTCTGGTTTAATTAAGTAAGAAGGTCCTTCCTACGATTATCACTATCATCTATCAATGAAAATAGACACAAAAAAAAAAAACTATTTGTATCTGTGAAATTGTGCTCTTCAATCGTGATGTCATTGAAAAAAAATATAAATAATAGTGTCCTTCATTTACTGAATTCAATTTTCTTTCATTTATTTCGTCGCGACTGACCATATCAATATAAGCAAAAAAATTGATCACAATCAAATATGAACTACTATATATATAGAACGACTTCTGATCAGTGTGTTTCATATTCTGTTGATCAACATTGAAACTATACAATACTCAATTCTATACGTTTTAGGTGAGATTATGAACTTTTTGCTTTGTTTTTATTTTTCCCATTAGTCAGCCTTTTTTTTTATATCACTACCACTACCATCCCCAATAGTATTAATACAGGCAATATATCTTATTGTTCAAATCATTCTCATGTTTATTCATTCACGCATACAAAAAGTGAGCGACAAAAAGAAATGGAGAGAAAAGCTTAGAACATAAGAATCGATTGTACAATATTATTCTTGTTAATCATCGAAAGAACCGAGCTATTGTCCGATATCGTATCATGCACATATATTCAGTGTAATCGAGTGTGTAATGTATTGTAATGCTCTCTTTGTATTGTCATAAACACTTTTCTATAGAGCACAAATAGTTTGAGTAAAATCCACATAGGAATAGGTCCGTAATATAATCAATATACAACATAAACGACAATTCATAAGAGTGCTTCCAAGCTTCGGAGTGGTTTCAAGTTAGTTGACAGACATTGTCTTTTAGTGAAATAAAAGGGTTTCCTAGTACTGATTTTGGTGGTGGCTACTAAACAGTTCTAGCAGCGATGGCAAACTTGCAATTGGTCAGGTTTTCCCAGATCGGTATAGATACCGGGAGAAACTGTTCAGGCTGAATCGAACCAGTCAGTAAATCAGCATGAGTCATTGTTAATTTCTCTCATCGTGAAAGGTATTCTTATGTCTTTGGATGAGTCATATCTACCTCTGAATTACTATGGTCACTACTTGAGACTTAACTATCACTGTTAAAGTGTTTTTTGAAGTCTAACTATCAATCAGTGTTAATGTCCAAGTAGAAATAGAGAAATTCAAAGGAATATCGAACTTTATGGAACTTTAGAAACGAAGTCTCAATCATTTCCTTCTTGATCAATTTACACAAAGAGACCAATGCTTCCATATTCTTGCATTGTAAGGAAAATCGATGCAAAGATGTGGCTACTTTTTTAACCTGGTGACAAAGAGTTTGATGTCTTAGACAACTTGGCGAGTTTACGACATGCTGCCTTTTGGTTTCGTGACAATCCATTATTTAAATGATGATCTTTTTCAACACGAGTTCCTAACATAGTCATAGTGGTTTTATTGCTTTTAACATTTTTGTTCTGCAAACATTGCGCTGAAAACTTGTTTTTAACTATTGGTTGCTATAGGTTTTGTGTCTTTTGACAATTAGAGATGGATTTAAAATTCCAGGAGATTTACAAATTCTATATTATTTTTCCATATTGATAAAATATTTATCGGACAGAAAAATTACGAATCAAATGCAGATGTATCAGCATCTTTAAATAGCTTTATTTTCCTATCTACTTTAACTTTCCGAAAGATATTGAATAAATCATACGAAACGAAATCAATTTTATTACAAACTACAATGACAAAGTGATACCGTCGTGTTTCGATGATGTAGCTTTATATATAAGTGATTTGATATAAAATACTATGTAGATTTTTGTGGATACTACCTCGATGAAAATATTCCAATCCATGTTTCTAGATAGTAATCGCTATTAATGCAATAAAACTAGTTTTATAATGCAAAAACTAAAAATTTCTGTTATCGATATTTCGAAAAAAAAAGTATTCGAAATTTCGGAAAAATATTGAAAAGCCAGTCCGATTTAGAAAAAAACAGTTTTTACCGGCCGGTAATGAATCGTAGAACGAACCAAACCGAGCCGACCATTTACCGCTACCAGTTACAAGTCTGTATTAGGGAGCCAACGCTAGCTTTTAAGGCACATCTTTCGGAGTTTAAGGCTTGGCAAGAGGTTATGCAGCACAAATAAATCTATTTGCTAACAATTTCAGTGGAGGTGCAATGTCTAGTTATGACAGATTAAGTGTTATTGAAATGAACGCTTATGATGGTGCTGGAATAGGTACTTATGGTAGTCCTGGAATGGGTGCTATCAGTGGTGCTGGAATAGGTGCTTTTGGTGCTCCTGGAATGGGTGCTATCAATGGTGCTGGAATAGGTACTTACGGTAGTCCTGGAATGGGTGCTTATTTTGCTCCTGGAATGGGTGCTAT